CAGGTACCAGATTGGATTGGGTTACAGCCAGCTCTGCTGGGCCTCCCAGGCCCCTCTCTCCACTTTCCCTTTGTGCCATTTCTACTTAATAACTAAGGCACTTTTTCTTTTGGGTTCAGATCTGTCACCATCCTTTCTCACCTCTTAGTGGTTAAAGGACAAGAGAGAAGATCTCAGCCTAGAAGGGAGATAGGAAGGGCCTGGGTCAGGAAGAAACAATTGAAAAGTGCAAAAAGATAGGCAATGCAATATGGAGGAGTGTGAGGGGAAGGAGGAGTCTTGGAATAAAGTTGAAGGGGCTGGGAGGAGTGGTGCTATCCTAGAACATTGAGGAAAGGAGTCTCAGGATATAGGGGCTAGCCTAGTATTTGAAAAGCTGAGGAGGGCTATGGAAGATAGGTACCGAGTGATAAGTGAGTACTAATTTGAGGAACTTCAGAGTCAAGATTCATTCCTAGGCCAAAGAAACTTTCTGGTTCCTTCCCCAGCTGGGTCCTTCTAGACATTGGCTGAACCTAGTCAAAGGAAATGTGAGGTGATATCTTACTGAGTTGATATAGAACCAATCTCCTTCCCTCCAAGAAAGGAAGTGATCCTGCTAGTGCAGAGCCTAACCTTGGCCTATGGCTGCCCTGACCCCACTAATGCTCTACCACCACCTCAAATCTAGAGAGCTGAGGGGCTCCTGATCCAGACTCCAGCGCCAGCTCTTCCTGTTTCCCAGCCAGCTTCCCTCCCTTTCTCTGGCCTTCCCAATCTCAGCTGCCAAAAATCACCCAGTGTCTTGGTGTCCTTTGTCCTGGGAGGAGCTGCTTGTTGTGGGCCCAGGGAGGGAGCCCAGAAGAAGGTGGTTGGTAGTGGACTGGTGGGGTGCTGGCTTTGTGGCTGAAGACCGGGAATGGCTGGCAGACTGACAACTTGACAGAGGCTGCCTAGAGAGCAATGGAGGGAGGAGGGTGGTGTTAGGAAGAGCGTGCTTGCAGTTTGCAGTGGCCATTGTCTCCATCTTAGAAAGATTGGGGTTAGTGAACCAGGGCACCTAGGGATTTGGCTCTTATGTTTGAGCTCAATCCCCACAGACCCCTTCCATATGGCCTAAGGCATAAACAGTGGTAACTTCAAACAGATCTGAGAATAAAAATGGAGAAGCAACCAGACTGAAGAGTCTGAGGCAATCCTATAAGTTATATATATATATCCCTTACTCACACCCAGACATGTCCTCTTCTATATCTATCATTTCCTTCAACTACTTTCCTTTCAGGTTTCCAGTCTCATCATCTTCCCTATCAATGACCCTCCCTCCACCATATATATTGACATCAAAGGCCGTCTTTCCAATCTTCCTTAAACTCTTCCCCCCCAATTTTATCTACCTTTTTCAGCCAGCCCAAACCCTCAGTTCCCTTACTCCCAGAATCTAGCTATTCTTGTGTCTTCCATCCTCTTGTCCCATCCAGAACCCCAGTCTCCCCTAGAAAATGCATCTGGCCCTGCCTATATCTCTTCATAAAACTCCTCATGCTTTCCCTTCTTTATACTGGCATCTCTGGGCTTTTCTCTTCAATTTACTTTATTACCCCCATATTCTTATATTCGCTATTCTTTTCCCAACACCAATCACCCCTAAACTATACTCTCTTCCAGAAACTCCATCCTCATATATATATGTATATATATATGTATCTCCATCCTCTCAAATCCTTCCCTATGATCTACTTCATCCCGTTCTCTTTGGTAATAGCCCCCAAACTATTCCCGATTATCTTGCCAGACTCTGTCACCCCAAGTTTGTTTCACCTTTTCTGATTTCCACATACCTCATTGTCCCCCAATTCCCTCTGTAGCTCCATTTTCCAATCTCTTTCCATCTAACCCTTTCACCCCAATCTCTACCCCAGTACCCACAAACCCGTCACCCCCAAACTTCTCCAACCCCCCATTATCTGTCCTTACAACCTACGGCCCCTCCAGCCTGCGGGCTCCCCACATTCTGCTACGGCGAACCCCTCCCTGCGCTCCGGGCCCCCACTGCCTCGGTTTCGGCCAACTCGCACAGCGCCTCCCCCTCTCCGGATCCCCCTTTCTCCCCCCTCGCAGCTTGCCTCGCGCTCCCTCCCTCGCGTCTCCCTCCTGGCCCCTCTCTCCTCCGTTCCTCCGCGCTCCCTCCTTCTCCCTCTTCCTCCCTTCTCCCATCCCCCTCTCCTAAGCGCCCTCCCTTCGCCGTCCGCTTTCCTGTGCAAGTCGCCGGACGCGCCGCCCAGCCCGCCCGCAGCCCCGCGCCGGGCCGGGGCTTCGGGCCGGGACCCATTTCGGGGAACCGCTGGACTCGGGGAGGGGCTAGGCGGGGGCGAAGGAGACGACTGCCCGGGAAGGGGCGGGGGTCGCGGGCGGAGTCGG